GTGCTTAGGACCACTTGAAGTAACTACAACTCACTGATCACTACAAACTATTCACTAACATAGAGGGTAATTACTTTAATTCACAAAATATATTAGTATGGCAAATCATTCAAATCATTCAACAATGATTGAATATTACCACAAAGAAAGTAATGCAGAAATTACGGAGAAGGTATTCATAAAACCCATTTTCTGCAACATGGAATTAACCCCCCCCCCCAAAAAAAGAGGGCACAGGCTTAATGCAATGCAATCAATTAATGACTCTGCAGACAAGTACATCAAGGACTCTGTGTGGAATCATTATGTTATTCTGTTGAATTCTGAGCCATGCCTTAGGGAGCTCTTGAATGAAGAATGGTTGGGAGTTAGAAAGATGAAAATACACTGCCTCATGTCAAACAAAACCGTGTTGACAAAACTTTTAAAGGAATAGTGTGTAGGTGGATTTATTGGCAGAAATTGAAGGTTTTCTTTGGTGTAAAATAACCCGAATGTAAAAATCATTGTGTTTTCATTACCTCAGAATGAGCAGTTCATATCTACATATGGAGCGGGTCCACTTCCCGGTCATGTTTCTACAAAACGAATCGACCACAAGCATTTTCACGTTGGCCATTGCGTTCCGCTACACGCTAACATGTGATTACATTACATTACACATTACATGTGATCCTGCGGACTGCACCTTTGTAAAGAACCTTTTGTCACATGAGGGTCACACGGGGGTCACGGAGAAACACAAGCCTCCTTCAATCAGATCTGATTAAAGGAGGCTTGTGTTTGAAATTGAAATCTGAATCCGAAAACACTTCAAAAAACACAATTTGGCCGGAACGAAAAGGTGCAGCGACTTCCAAAGGACTCCTGATAATGCCGAGCGAATAGTTGAGACCCAACTGGTGACCGGCGTGTCTCCTGGAGGTCACTTTGCCTGGTTTTGGTCAGATTCTTCAAATAAAGTCATGCCAAAGGGAGAAAAAAGCAGTCTGCACTCTCTCTCGTCTGACTTACAGGGTCTATGTCTGTTTCGTCTAATCATTGGATTGTCAATCATTACAAAAACCTGCATTTCATAAATAATTGATGTGGGCCAAGTGCAGTGAACACCGTTCCTTTGCGCTGCATCACTTACAGTAGTTTCGGGCCTTGCTCGGTGTCCTCAGAGAACAAAGTGCGAGACTCTGGCTATTTCAGAAATGCACAACCTCCTTTTGTCTTTTCTTTTGATACCAGGTCCACAGGGGCAGTTCCTACTTTGAGTGAGATTTTCTTCTTTTTAGGACGAATGAAAACCTCCCTGAGCTTTGTTGCCAGAGCCTTTCTCCATTCTTTGAATCGGCCTAGGGAGTTTTGTTCTGCGTGCGGCGTGGCGTCAGTCCTCGCCGGCTTATCTCCTCCTCTTTGTCGTCTTGTGTGCACCGAGGTCTATTGATCCTGGGCCAAGGTATTACATATTTCATGACAAGATCGCACACCCTTTCATAAAGAAGTCATTTATATCATTGAAAATATAGGCTGCTCCAGGTCACTTGAGGTAAATCTGGCTTCACTCAAAGTAGAAATGTTCCAGCGATCCGCAAGATGAACTTGTTTCTTTTTTTTTTTTTAACTCTAGGTCAGAGAGTGTTTGTCGAGGTTCTTGACGAATCTTCAAACCAGCCCCTATGCTCATTAACGCATGCTGTGAAGCTATAAGTAGCTCCCATATTTCACACGAAAAGCACATCAAGGAGGGCGCAGGCTGTATAATACATGGGAAAGTGGACCGTAAAAAGAAGCCGCGCTCTGTGATGGCTTTTTTTTCGGGCTAAAAATAGCAATGCTTATGGGGAGATTATGTGAAGACTGTATGTCAGACCAGCAGCCGGCATAAAGGATTCGTCTCATTCCGCGCTGTACATTCTTCCGCCACCCACAGCCCTCTACGTTTTTTGTCACTCGATACCGATTTTAATCACGGACAAGCTGGCATGAAGTCATGGATGCGCACACGCACACACGCAACTTCTCTCACATTGCGCCGAAAGTGAGTTGGCAGGTGAGGCGTCAGCATCACTTCAGAGACAGCTTGATGACAATCCAGCTGGAGTCACACTTTTAAAGGTCTCGCAGAGATCACACGCGCTTTCTCGGTCTGTCTCACTCTCACACACACACACACACACCCTTTAATTAAAAGTTGCAATCAAGCTGACTTCTGCATGTATTAACACCTCTCGCAGACATGAGAATGTCGTCATAACACTGAAGTTAAACAAAGTCTAGAATATTTGACTAATATACACAACTCGTGAAGATCTTCAAAGAACATCGCACAAACGAGAAACCCAAAAAAACTGTGAACGCCAAAATGAGGTGATTATCCGGGCTAACATGTCACTAACCAGTGGAAAAGAAGACAAAGTTGTGACTTCCCTGGTTTATATTTAACTAAATAAAGAGGTTCACTTAATATTTTGTTCCTAATTAGCACATGCTGTTTAGAAAGCTCTACGGCTCGGGGAGAGGACCACATGTGGATGTCAATAGATAGGACTCCTCAATGAGGCTGAACATTTAACCATGACCAACATAATCATCTTTAGAGACAAGCGGAAGAGTTCAGATACACAAATGGAGCTCTGAGTAGAACCAGTGGAAGGAGCCGGTCGGAGTGGGTATATATACACACATATATACTCTTGGGTAGAAATATCCAACCGGGAGAGAAAGTTGGGAGACAAATGCAAAACACACTTGAAAGATCACACGTCCAGATTGCAGGAGAGAGGCTCCGTTAATGCAACCCAGTCAATATAGGGCTGGAGATTACGATGGACAGAATTTTATTGATGCTCATTTGTACTCCGTTGACATTGTCTTTTGCAATATATAATAAATCATTCAAAGCCCGTCCAAAAAATGCCCAATCCTCATCCCCACTATCAGCCCCTAGAGGCATCAACAATTACTGTCCTGAGAGGGGCTCTGAAAGTGGGGTCTCTACCTTTGGGAATATAAAATATGCCTCAACAAATTTAATGTAAATTTGCCTATTAAATTAGGATTTTTCCAGTGTGTCCATGTATTAATTAATGTGCTCTCTCTTCCCTCCTTTTTTTTTTTGGTCACAATCTGCGGTGGGTCCTTCCTAAGAACAGTATGAATATTAACAATATCGCACTTTGCGACTTGAAGCCTCTCTCTCTTTGAATATACCTGCATTTGATTTATTAATTTAACTGGGCTTGCTTGTCTGTACAGAACCAGTTCCATCCCATTGGGGTGGGAGCAGTTCCAGAGGCCTTCCCATTACGGACTGAGGATGGCTACACCAGCAATGATATACAAAAGGGGATAGAAGATAAGGGAAACATGCATGACCATGAACCAGCCACCAGCACCCTCGTTTAATCCATTTTCTCATTCTTTACATTCTCTCTGCTGCTCCTGGCTTTAATGTAAAAAGGTGCCAACAGGAGCTATAGACGTCTAGTAGCGATGGAAGTTTTTTTTCTATCAACAGTGCCGCTTTCTTTTATCCCGAGGATGCACACAGACGCAGTGCATAATGCAGGTGTCACTCTGATCCACTGAAACAAAGCAGTGAAGTGCAGCCCTGCGATGTAGTAAACATGGAAGTTAACAATGCTGGATTCAGAATACGAGTATGTGCACAAGAAGCCGTGCGTTTGTCCTTAAGGTCTAACCTCAACAACAAACACAATGCTTTTTGTGACACTGAGTGAATGACTTTTGTTGGTTCACAACAAACCTTCATAGAGCTCCTTTTAAATTGATTTATTTCTTTTGAAACAGGCACACAACGGAAGCTAAATTCGTAACCTCTGGCTGATTAGAAAGATTGGAGAGACCATGAACCAATTTCCAAAAACCTGTTTGCTGCTGACAAAGAGCATGGAAAGCAATCAGTGCCATTGGTCTGTTAATTATTTAAGATTTTTGATAATTTCCTTGTTACCGGAATACACGAAATGATGGCTCTTATTATAGCAATTATACACTGCAAGAATGTAAAAAGGTAAAAATCAGTCTGCGAAATGGATTTCTGCATTAGAATTGCATTACAACCAGTATTCTTTCACAATTTAACGTTTAATGTTGGAAACGTCCAACTAGGTGTATGGAGACTTTTACAAATAGAATCTGTGCTCATTTAGCAACAACAGCATGTCAGCGCAAAACCACCAGCTAGTTTTACACAGTAATTTCATCTCACAGTATAAATTCACACGGTAGAGGCACTTGTGCCTACCGTCTGCTCCCCTTACTAAAGTCCAAACACTCTCCCGATCCCCTGTGTAGTTTGACGATCTAGCCCGGCACCATCAAAGCGCAGAGCGAAAGTGATGTGGAGTGACAGCCCTGTCATATCAATTTTCATTCATACCAGAGACATGTCTCACTTAGGCTGAAGTGGACAGATGCAAAGCCACTGTACAAATAGTCCATAGTTGCACCTGTCAAATGCAGTTAACCATCTGGTTTTCTGAAGACAAGAAAAGGGGGAAGAGAATAGATAAGCTCCATTTAGTCGGGGAGGTGATGTGCCTCTAAATTGCAGTGGCAGCTGTAAAAGTGCTTGTCCTCGCACACTGCAGAATCGGAAAGTGAGATAAAGTAAGGCATCAGGCGGGAATGACTAATCTTGGCCGAGGTGTGTTTAAGCCATTGTGACCATTTTTCATTTGCGGTTAAGTTAACTGTTTACTCAGAAGGATGAAATGCTTTCGGGAATATGTATTTTTTTACTTTTTTCTGACTTGTGTGCACGCCAGGGACATAAAAACTTAAAATAAGCAGGCGGTTAAAAATGTAATGCAATAATCGACAATATATTTCCATTTACCCCGTAGTTGACTTCTCTACTCTTAGTAGCCCATTTCAACCAGCCTTATACCCATTGCATCAGAATATGGATTTTAAGAAGATTGGACGTGTTTTCACACATCTTATGACACCCTAACGGTCCCTAATTGATGGAAGCGCAGCCTTACTGTGTTGCGGCAGTCGTCATTGATCAGCTGCAGCAGCTGGCTCTCAAACTTCTCCAGGGACGGCTGGAGGGAGATGGTCAGTCTGTGCAGGGTGAAGGGCAGCATCTTCAGCGGCTGAGGCCTCAGTAAAGAGTCTCCTGGCGAAGGATACAGCATGATGACTTTTGCAGGATTATATAATATTTCTCCTGACTAACGAAAGATGCCGTGTGTTCCTCTTGTTTTTCAGAAAGCATCTGTTCTCTAGTGGAGGAAAACCACCACTGCAATAAATGTATGAGACGAACTATATTCCAGTTTGTGACCCATTTGCAAAGTTCCCTGACATTCTCCATCATCCCCAGAACATTTATCAGGGCTCCCCAGACGTTCTAGTCAAGCAGAAAAGGCATGGTTTGATAAAGTGGTATAGCCATGTTTATTCTATACTTAGGTGTGTGTGTGTGTGTGTGTCATCATATGTGAGTGAGTTTTCCATGTTGGTTTTGCAGTAGTTATAAAGTTTGCTTACACTGGACTCACTTCATTAATAACATATACTACTTGAATTTCTAGTTAACATTTTGTAATACTGGTGTCAAACATCCCCTTTACATCTGGACGTTAACATAAATTGAATCGATTGGAGAAGTCTGTGAGGTCCACAATCGGACCGTTTCTGACATAACAATGAGGAAAATAACCAGTGTGATCCAAATCTCTTCAAGAGTAATGTAGCCATCAGGCGACTCGTCTCCGGAGCGCAGAGGTGGACTGTTCTGAATGTGCCATGAATATCAAACCGGTGGCTGTGGTCTTAAAAGGCAGCTTAGGTCTGTGCTGCTCACTGCCCCAGAACATGAAGAGGATTAGCCGGCTACCACACCTCCCACTGACTCCCAATGATTAGAGCTGCGCACTGTCACACTTTATTACATTCCCCCTCACAAACTTACTTACTAAGTACTGCAGACATTTCAGCTTCCAATGGAACCAAGTTTACGAAAGAGAAAAAAAAAAAAGCCAGTTTTAGGTACCGTGATAAATGTCCTGTTTGTTATCTTGACAGGTGGGGAAACATACGTGAGCAGTTGCAGATTATGTAAGATTATCTGATATGTGCGGACGGGGTTGGCCATGCCATACTTTGATTACTAGAAGCTCTAATATGAATTACCGAATCACAGATACAAATCTGAAATGAACTGCACAGTCAACACACACTACAGATGAATGTTTCCATTAATGTATCCTTTTTTTCATGTTTTTCTGTTGAAAAGACACCAAATGACCTACCTCTATCTCAGGACTGCTACTGACAGATGCAAAATGAATGAATGAATGAAGGAAACATTTTAATGAGACACAGGCCACAGCACTGAATTACGCTCTAAAAATCTAATCTTGACAAGAATCACTTCATACAAATGCGTAAACAGACTTGAACTGCTTACGTATTTATGGTGTGTGTTTTCACCTTATCTAAATCAATCATGCAATTTTACGTTTTCCAACAATATCCAAATCTAGGAGTAGCAAAGGCTTCATCGCAGTCGCCTCATCTTGACAAGTAAAGATCTTAAATAACCTAAAACGGCCTCGGCTGTGGGAGGGGAGCATATTACACATATTACGTTTTGACCTTAGACCTTCTCAGAGATGTGGAGTTTACCTGTTGGAGAAGCTGCAAGCCCGGGAATTTTCTCCTTTCCGGATATAAGGACATTCTCCGGCAGGAGGTGCATCACGGACACCAACGCCTGGTGGTTTTTTACAGCACAGTCCAAATGTGCTCCATCAATTGTTGTCAGGAGACTGCTGTCTGCAGAAAAAAGATAAAACAAAAATTTTTGTGGGAATGTTTTACTATTTCACATGCATTTCCTGGCAAACAAGCAAAACACCACTGTGAATACAAATGAGTCCTTCATCCCCAACACACCCAAAAGAATCAATCTCCTGGGTCACGCAGAGTCTAATATTTCCCCAAAAGCAATGAGTTACAGACAGCGCGAGACAAAACACGCAGATCATTTTTCAATATTCCACGTGTGTTGGTGGCCGAGGTGCAATGTTCCATTACGGCGCGAGCATCGTTTTCTGGGGCTAAACTGAGGTGACGACGGTTCAACTTGGAAAAGGCGCTCCTGCAGCGTGGATGAGGCACAAGGTGTGAGCAATGTGCTCGTCATCGCTCGACCCGGTCATCCGATGACAAGCGACGGCCCACAATTCCTGCGTTTGCACCAAGCGCTGACTATTTGGAAGGTGAGCACAGTGGTGTTTGATGTGCTGCCTACGTAAGCTCCCTTCCAGCCTGAACAGTAACACAAATTTGTGTGATGAGTTAATGATTGCTCCATCAAAAGCATCAGTGACAATCAATACAGGACGCTTCATTCACCCCCAGGGACCTTTTAGACAGCAGACAGATGAAATGGGAGTGGTGTCCAAAACCATTGAGAGTGTTTTTCAAATTCATAGGTGGATTAAAAGGTAGTTATTCACCATCTGGGAACAAAGCACTATTTCTAAGCGCTCTTCCTACCGCGAACAACAAAACCTGAAGAAGGCCTCCATCGATAGAGGCCTGCCGTCCATCTGGCTTCAACTTTTTTGGAGGACTATTCATTTGCAGCAAGTAAGAGCCAGGCTTAACAACTTTCCCCACCACGATCACTATACCCAAACCCCCAAAATGTTTTAGGGAAAAGATGAAATGAGAAAAGATGAAACAGTCTTCAACATCACAAGATACTCTGGGATCGTCTGCGGTGGAATAATGACAACTTCCGAATCCTGCAAAGCCTTGGAGAATAGATCTCAGAATTCAAGCTGTGATTACAGAAAATGGACGGATCAAATATTACATAAGTTCTGACTTTCATTAAACGCGTACACCTTACTGGATCATATTCAATTATTGCTTTAGACAATCTTACTCAACTGTAAATTACATTAGCTGACAATGGAAAATAAAGCCCAGTCATATTCCAAATTTCTACATCTAACCCCAAATAAAGACTGTGGCAACTTCACGTGCTAACAAACCCATTCATGTATGCAAACATCTCATAGCCATCACTAAGCATGTCTGGCCTTCAGTGTGCAGCAGATAACAAAGTGTCTTATCAGCCCTCAAAATACGCAGCTACAGCATCACAGTTATAATTGCGGAGTGTGATCCACAAACACAATAAAATATTTGTGTCAGTCAACTCATAAAACATCAATGCATTTTTGGGATTACCTTAGAAACTTTAAAAGCAAGTTGCTTACCCGCAGTAAAAGTAAATACAGTCCAAACTTTTGTAAAGAAGAATCCAATTTGTTGAGATATTGGATTGGCAGGTTAACAATGAATTCAATTAAAAAGAGACATGTCAAAATTCAAAACAAACTTACACATTCATGCTACTAGAATATTCTTCAGAAACACAGAATAAAATTCAGTTACATGCCAAATTAATCACAAGGGGAATAGCATGAATACAAATAAAGTTGATTAAATAAATTATGCCTTAGAGTGAAATAAGTATTTTTTTTCAATGTCCACATCAACTGTGGATTACTTTTCATGGCGGAGCCGGTGCCTGTATCTTCAAAGTGAATGAAAGGGGATTGAGAGAAGGAGAGTGAGTACATCACTGTGTTCTCCTCCCCTCCCATCCCATGACTCATCCCACCCAAATCCTTTAACACGGTGAACAGTAAACTTACTTCAAAAAAGTGCTTATGTGTAAAGCCAAAGAAGGAAAAATGGTTTGGGGAAATCTCGGAAGTTGCAGCACCGCATCAGCTCTGTTCCTACGAACGTTCTCAGTGGCAACGGCAGCTTTTGTTGAAAACGTCTTTCTCACCAAGGAAAGAAAAGTCATGTAAGAGAAAAAAGGGGGAGAAAGTCACGCACAGAAGTTTCCTCGACACAGATGCTGCCCAGCTGTTGGAAACTTTTTCATCATTTATTTCTCGCAATTCATTATGCATCAAGCTTGGGTTTCCGTCAGATGCTGTGCATACATTAGAAAACTACCCCAAATGTCCTGATAGCGGTGGTGCAGCACCTCAGTCAGTTGAGCAGCATCTTGGCAAGAGATGTGAAACCAAGGAAGTGGAGGGAAAGAAATGGCTCAGCATCAGACAAAAAGAGGCAGTGGTTGTGGGAGGCGGTTGAGTGGGAGAGAAGAAAGTAATAAAGAAGGAAACTAATGGGGGGGGGGATTTTGGAGTGTGGGTTTTAATGCGAACTCAAGTGAACAGACTTGTGAGTTGCTTTTGTTGCTGTGTTGGGCACTGAAGCAACCACTGCTTTGGTGCTTTGGTGCTTCTCCATTTCACTTGCTGGAGAACAGGGACGCACCGAGCTTTGCCACAGCTAGATTTATAAAAGAATTCAATGCTTGGTGATTCGGGCTTAAACGGTTAGTCTCTTTAATGACCGAGCTGCCGTACTTTTTTAATCTCATCTTTGTGAATCCTTTGTTTGTCGGATTGGGCGCCGGACAGAAAATGTCAACTTAGTGTGTCAGAAATGTTTATGTGGATGTTTCAATGATTTCCAGACCAAATTTTGAGGCCCAATATGATAAATACTTGGGAATGGAAACGCATGATGCTGATAAATACCAGCCAATATCTCACACAAGAACATGTACTTTGTTATTTTAAAATACCAACCTATGAACTGTAACATTAAAACAATTGAACAATTACAAAGTAACTTTGTGGATGAACCATAACATTTCTGATTCTAAAAGACCTCTTATCTAATTTTGCACCACGACATATCTTTCTACCATCAGCTGTCACGTGCTAACACCAATATCAACTTGATTAGAAGGTTGTATTTATAAAAATAAAATGTAGGAGCGATAGCCTTCTCTAAAATGTTGCGCTCTTCCTTGTTCAATGAGGAGAGCTGCTGCTATTTGAGATACATACATAGTTACACACAGATATAAAATGTCTAAATGTTGTAAAACAAAGTTTGCCCCGTCTCGATATTTGCCTAACACAGGGAAATTGTTGTTTGACTTCATTAAGTATGTTGGAAGTTTGATGTTCATCCAAACGGCAATGAAGCTTTGCGTAGGTGTTGAAAACACACACAATGTGGGCGGCCTTGACTCAGCTATACATGCAAGGAAAACCCTATCAAAAGGCACCAGTAAACCTTTTTATCTTAGCCACAGAATGTCTTTGTGTACATCAGTGAGAACGTTTTGTCTCGACATCAATCCCACACACACACACGCATATTCATCGTGATGTTAATTCAAATTTAGATATGCTAATGTAAACACAATGTACCATCTGTTTGTCCTCTCATCACACCAAGAGGACCCCAGAGAAGCCCTCCATCTTATTCCATTTTTCTTCTCTCAGCTCCTTCCCCCTTCCTCTCAGTCGGTCGAGGGGAGACAGATAGATCAGGCCAATGAGCTCGCTGCCTCCCTTCGTGCCGGTTTCCTCCTTCTTTTTTTGCCTCTTAGAGAACTAAGACTATCAAAAGCAACCAAGGCAACTTACTTTCCTTAATCTTCTCTTCCCATTTCCTGCCTCTTGACCCTGACTCCACCATCATAAAAATAGGGATGGTTGGAGTACCGCTGTAGTCATTTCTTTCCTAGTGCTCCTTTTTCGGTTGCAAACCAACTTGTGTTTCAGCGTTTCGGTTTTCTCTATTGATCTTATACTGTTGTTTACATTCATACTTCACAGGTTAAGACTGCACTTAACATTAAACTGGCTTTCATTTTCTGCTTAAAAAGCAAGAAGGATGCTGATCACAACACCGCTTTTCCAGAGCCATGAAAAGCTTGTACGTTTTTGTTCGAGCTGCATGACTTGTGCTAATGTAGTGGCTCTAGTAATTCGTCTTAGCCACTCCCATGTTTCCGCCGGACTCAGTCTTCTACAGGGAAACCATTTGTACTCTCCGCCCTCTTTCTGCCTCTTCTTTATGTATTCAGGTTTTATCTCGCATTCATTGCCCCCCCCCTGAACCACCATCAGAGGGGGAAGTGTGTGTGTGTTGCTCAGCCAGTGGCACTAAGCCCTGCTAGGCAGTAGAACATAGACACATGTATCGTTTGGCAGCCGCCTACAGTATATAGCCTGCCTGACGGCGCTCACTCTGCCAAACGCATCCCGCAACACACACACACACACACACACACACACACACACCTCACTCGTATACAACAACATGCCCTGGCAGCAAGTGGCTCTTCTCTGAAGTGATGGCCGGCTACGAAAGCTGGTATCGTCATCGCAAGACAGAGAAGTATGGAAGATGCCAATGAATGCATACATTAGAATCCCAATTCAGTCCCTTTTGCTGCTTCTATACATTTCTATGAATTTAACGTAGCGATTGTTTTACATACCTTTTGTTAGACCATTAGGCCGGTGTTATTCTTTGTATCCGTTACTGTGAACAAATGAGTTGGTTTGTCCCGGAGTCTTATCATAATTCATGTGTCACACTGTAGCAAAGTAAACACAGCTGTCACCAAAAAAAAATGATTTATGGTTCCATTCTATTTCCTGTGTCACGGCCGTTCCCGCGAGCGAACGCTCGCTCGCTCGCTCGCTTCTGAATGGGAGGCCTTAATTGATGCACCTGCGTTTACTCTGCTCTGCAAGGCACTGGCCGTCCCGTCTGAAGCCGCTGGGGGTCCAGCGACTTGAAATGTTGTTTTAGGCGACAAAGCTTGCTTGGAAATTGAATCGCGTCTCTTCGATTGGACTTTTATTTAACTGGTACCCTTTCAGGTCTGTGTGTGTGTCCAAAAATGTTTAGCAAACTTGTTTATTTTCTTGGTTAAAAAACGTGGCCCTTGTTTGCGACGGGGCTGAAGGGCGGAAGGGCGGAATAGTGGAGGGAGTGTCTGCTCCACCCACTCAGTCAGGGGAATTGAGATCAGGTGCGCCAGGAGACACACCTGGACCTCATCTGCTCATCAAGGAGCGGGGGCAAAAAAAAGACAAGGAGGGAAGCCGTGGCAGAAGAGATGGGTTGGGAGAGGAGGAGGAGGAGCAGGAGCAGGAGCAGGAGCAGGAGCAGCGGTGGTGCTCTCTTAGATCTCCAGGGCGGAGAAAGAAATCCCGTTAAGTCGGATAGCGACCGGGTCTGACTCCTTAAGTTTGGCGAACGCGCTGGAGATGAACTTGGGTTTTCTGTTTTGATTCATCACGTTGGTTTATTAAAACTTATTACTAGATACCATCTGGCTCATCGTGCGCTGCCATATTTGTCGGAATCCTCAGTGCAATCTTGTTACAGCCATCAACTGTAAACTGCCACAGTCATCAAAATGCCTCCGTAGAGATCCGTTAGATGTGGTGTGGATGTGGCTTGGGTTGATAAAAGTATTATGCCTGCCCAGCTGAAGACTGCTAAAATGCTTATGTATTTAAAGCTTAGACTGCTTTTAAGGAGTGAAATTCTTCCTTTTCTATCTACGTTTTCCAAGAAAAAAAACTGTATGCAGTGTAACTATGTGTAAATATGCTGCGTTATTCATGGAACGTATGGATGAAGAGCGTTGGGGAACATGCTCGATAATTAAATTATTATGAACCATAATATTGTGGATTGATTTCTTAAACTCTTGTTACCACAAGTTCTGTTCGGTTTTCATTCATCCGGCTGTGAGAAGAACCCAGGTTATGTAGTCAACCTTTCTCAGTGGAGCGTGAAGCCAAAGACGGCATTCCGACTGCGAACAGCGGACAGAATGTTGAGTGAACGGAGGACTGAGTACAATTACTGGCCTTGGAAGAGACAAAAAGCCCCATTGTGTAAATTACAGGGCTGAGGTTTGTTTGATCCTTGTGTACTAGCGTAGCAGGAAGGTTCATGCAGTATCAACACAATGCACACTAAAGACGTTGGAAAACCTTTTTTAATGACGCTGAGGGACAAACAAAAGCTTGTGTTAATCAATAGCCTGCTGGTCGATATCAGCTTTTGTAAAAGTTTCCTCAACGATACATAAGTCAGGGAGATGTTTCAAAGTTGTAATGGGTCACAATGTCGTGACATTCAGCCAATTTCAAATCTCACACGTCCTCACACTGACGAAACCGAGCCTTACAGATGAGCGCTGCGCCGGGCCTGCAGCTGTATGTGTGAGGCAATCTAAGAGAACCTGTGGGCCGCTTGGATCATGATTCAAACTACATTTGCACTGCATAAAAAAAACAAAGCGGCCTTGTTCATAACACCACTATGTGGGTCCAGCAGGGGTCCAAACACAGAGGGCAGCCCATTATAAAATAAAGCGTCATGGTTTGTGTTTTGTATTCTCCCCAGAAAATCAATCTCACAAAGGTGCCATTTGTCGTTTTTTTTTTTGATTGCTCGCCAACACTCGAGAGGGCGGATCTCTGCGCCGGCCTGAGGACGGGTACCGAACAAGACGAAGGGAGAGCGGCACGCTGATTGAATAGCAAAGAGAAAACGTTGTGTTGCGTCCGTGATGGACAATGAATTATAACCCTCGTCGTGACGTATTTTGATTTAGTGTCTTGTCTGCATCTATTTGTTCGCTCTAAATTAGCTGACACCCACTGAGCTCGGTGCGCCGGTGTTTGCATGCGAGGCGAGGCTGCCCGGGCCGCGCAGTCGAATCAGATGTCTGTGTGGTAATTTCGCCTTGAGGCGTTCGCTTGTTTTGGCACCGCAGAGAAGCGCAGATTTATAGCCATTCGCGCTTATTCCATTCCAACTCGTAACAACTTCATTGGTACCACATCAAGAAGGGATGACGATATTTTCTCCATCCGGAGCGACGGTATTTTCAAAAACTGAATAATGTGGAATTTGTAATGAATGAAGGACCAAAACAACGTCAGCCCCCGGGTCTTGTTTTCTCATTTATAATTTGTTCACACAATGAGGCATGAATGACCAACACGAGGAAATATACTTATTTCACACCAGCACAGAATCTGGTCCGATTACTTGTTTCTCTCAACAAACTCACACAAGTTCCCTCACATCTCAAAGTAAATGCAAGGACGGCGTGTTCCTGCAACAGTAGAGTGATATATAGAAACAAAAAAGGGTTCCGTCCATAAAAGAAATCTGCGGGAGTGGCAGCATTATTCCCCTTGGATCCAAAACGTAACGCTGAGCTCACCAACAGGGATGTGGTTCATTATTTAGCGAGTATAAGAGTCCGTTTGAGAGAAGGTTTTCTAATATTCATGTGACATGATAGCCAAGACAGGAACTCTGGCTCTCACTGGCACAGTGTTATTCATACTGCGAGGCACTACAGTGTTTTGTAATTCATCGCCTCGGTTTTTAGGCCAAGCTAAGACATATCTAGACCAACTCCAAGCTTCAGTAGCAAACTCAATAATTCAAGATTCATGACGCTAAACTGATACAACTCTAATGTTCAAAGATAATCCAATTAGTAGTGGTGGATCACAGCCACAGCTGGATGGATAACCACATCGTCAACCTGCAGCAGCGATATCCACAGTTGAATTAATTAATTCAATCAGAATATTCGCTTTCTTCATTGCCTGTTCTTTGCATATGCAACTGTTTATCATAGAGCGCGGGGCTCTTTCAAATCACTCTGGGACCTTCGGACTCACTGCATTAGGATGCTTGAAGAAGGATACAGCTAAGAAGTGACACATGATGGTCAATAATACATTGATCCTGGGACTAGTTTCATTTCAGTCCAAATGCACGGGCCAAGGGGCTTTCTGCTTCTAATGTGTGGCTGTGGTCTTTCCCCTTTTCGGAGATCTGATAGAGCTTCCTTACCTGCCGTTGATCCATCCTCCTGTGATGGTACCTGGCATAGAGTTCAGATAAAAGAACCCATCTTGTAATTCCCCACCTGGGTTTTCATCTGAGGTCTTCATTTAATTTTTCTTTCAGTACCTGCTGCATTGGTCTTTTTCTAGTTTCACACAGAATATTTTGTGTTTCCTCCTAAGATTTCTACTGGGAGATATTCCAACGCAGTGAGGTTTCAGGGCAGATGTGCCAGTTTAGCTGGATTAGACAAATTAAAATGTCTGGCAAGACAATACTTATTTACTATATAATGACATAGCATAAGACACAACTGTCATTTCACGAGTAGCTGAAACATCTACAGATGAATTCTCAGTCAAAACAGATTGACACAGTAGGGTCAGTCCCCCATTACGGATTACCGCCTGTAGACTATTTGAAGTAGTGGTGTAAACGGATCACCTCTCACGGCGCGGCACACATGTGAACAGCAGATTAATTACAGAGCTTATCTTAACCGTCGCAGCATGAAATTTTAAAATTGTACTGTCATCGTTATCCGCTGACGTTCAGTAAAATACGCACATCATTAACGCTTTCTCTGATAATGTTAAACCATTGAGTGAAGGACGGCTGGTAAAGTGGCCACTGGACAACGAACAAAGGTTCGGTTACATTATGATGCATTCAGGCTCTGTTCAGTGAAAATGAGTATTGGGGATAGGTCAACTAGGAGTTATTGTGATGCATTCACTTGCACTCTCCTAAAATGTGGTGGTGTTGAGAAACTTTTTGAGAACGAATCCAGTTGTTCGAAGGAGACGTTTTCACAACATAAATTGGCATTACAGATTTCAATATAACCGTATACTAAGGAGCCTAGAATACATATTTAACACTAATAACGACGGGATTTAGTTTAATCCAAACAAATCTTTAATTTTCTAATCGTTTTTCTAATTTTGTGCATTGTTGAAAACAACATTAAGACGTCTTTTAGTCCAGCTGCTATGATCAAACAACAGGCATTTCACATCCGACAATATGGATCATTATTGATCCCCAATTAGTATTAGCAACAAAAAATCTAATCCACGCATCTGCACCGTGATCACGGTTATGAAATTGAATTTGGAACAACAAAGAAGTGAACAGGAATGTGGCGTGCTCTGAGAACAAACAGTTAAGTCCCACGTCAATGCGGCTCTCTCATCTTCTCCTGTTGCATTATTCAGGTGACAAATCCCTAAAGTGAATGCGCCTAATAAATAATTACAATACATAGAATATAAAAAAAACGCTCCTTACAGTCATCTGTGGCCTTCACGAGGGGATGGAGGAGACTCCGTGGTGATCCATGGTGTAGATTCAGCCTAGAAGATACATTGGAAGCAACCTGAATGCAGCTGCAGCTTTCAACGTAACTAAAACATGTGTCAAAGGTTGTGCTACAATTTAATTCTGCCAGTTGTATCTGGCATTTCCTCAAAATAGAACAAATGAATACCAGGCTGCTGTTATTAAGAATGAAGTAATCACCTTCTGTCCCCATCAGCAGCCTGAGCCTCTGGCCTGTTGGTAAAAAGTTCCAGGACAGCGAAGCCTCGCCCCAGGGCCTGCTGGGAGCCATCTGGCCTGGGTGACAACGACACCAGCTCCAGGACCACGACTGTGCTGGGCAACCGCAGAGACGTGTGGAAATACAGGACCTAAAAGGAATCATGGAACACACAGGGAGGACCTACGTCGTCAATCCCACATCTTTTGATTTCGTTCAGAAGCCGCTCGGATTTGATGTAATTCAAACTCCCGAGATAAAACCTTGTACTGTGTATGTGTTCCGTTTAGACTCCGTCCCGCCAGCCCAAACAAAGAACACAATGAAAGTGGATTTCATGTTTCTCTTTGCCCCAAAGCAATTAGTCAAATAGATTACACTACACTATATAAAAAGCATGTTAACAATCACGGGGAAGTGAATCATCAATGAGGACAAGATGGTGCACAGTCCCACGGCACCCAGCTTGGTTTTCAGCAATAACTCCTGAAGTTATTGAAGTAAATGCAGTTTATGGATCGTCCTCATACATGAAAGGGTCCCTCACACATGGCGCCGTATGGGACCGTGACACCTCGGCTGAACACAACACAAAGACAGCGTCTGATTTATTTTCACAACAAATAAAACATGCGCCATTGGAATAACTTGAAAGAACAAAAGAAGAACAATAGGACGATGAGGCCTCCCGACGTCTGCTTCAATTTGAGCAGCTATTTTGGGCATCTTCACTATCAATCACTGAACAAAGTTAACTGCTCATAGAAACTGCTACGAAGAGCTCAAGATAATGACATCAGAAGAATTGATACGTAATTTGATATTGATTGGTTCGGGGGGAGCAGAAATCCCATAAGAACATAATGTCAGGCTGAACGAATGAAGTGAATCAGAAAGCGCAATTAATTCTGATTGTTTCACCTGTTTACTTAGAAAGATGAAGACAACTCTACTGCATCTACTTGTTGCGGTGGTCATGCTGTGGGCCTCTACAGTGCAGGTCACGAAAAGGAGATAGACAAAAAGATATCCAGGGTTGATAAGAATACCGAACAGGCCATCTCATATTCGAGAGGCGGGTTTTTATCCTTTGTGAGCCTCCAGGGAGTTTGACCTCACTATTTTTACAATTTCAGTAGAAGACCGTTGGGTCTTTTGGAAGCTTGTTTGTAGTCTGTGCCAGGTAGGTGCAATTGTTTACACGCTCTGCCATCCAATCTGGAAATAATGGCCGACCGAGAGCCGAGCCACCGTAATTTACATGCACAAAGGCCCGAGTATGATAAAAGGGACACACCGATTTTATGTGATCCATTGGTCCTCGAGCCAACTGAAGCCCTTTTATTTGTGAAAGTCATAAAGAAGAACATGACCGTGTCAACAGAAGAAAAAAATGGTAGATACGAGCTACCTTGATATACAGGGCCAATTTCTCTCCTGGCCCACTGTGGCAGAGCCGGTTCATCTTCAACCCCGAGATATCAGTCAGCTTCTACCGCTTCTCCGCAGAAGGACACAGGTGGGCGGGGCCTGGAGTCAATCCCAGCGAGAGACGGGCTACACCCTGGACTGGTTTACACGTCTATCGCAGGGCTGACATAAGAGACAAATAACCATCCCCTCTGACATCCACGCACACCTACAAAATCAGCCATTAACCCACCGCAGAGCCCTAATCCCCACAGCGTGTCTTTGGACTGCGGGAGGAAGCCGGGGTACTGGGAGAGAACCCACGCAGACCCGGGGAGAACATGCAGACTCAGACACAGAAAGGCCACTGGGTGGTTTGGAAAACCCAGGAGCTTCCACGATTTCTGGTACTGAAAATTCATTCTCAGGGTTTCTCAGCTTTGAATGTGGATCGTTATTCAAGCAAACAGTGGGTGAGGTAAAAATATCCGGCATCCCATGTCTATCGGTATTCATGGACAGGAAAACTACTTTGGCTCAGTTTATTGATTTATTTCCCCTTTATCCCCTCCTATCTTTCCTCCCAGATCAAAGCATCATCTGTGACTGAACTTTTCTTGAACCTATGAACCCAAGCTGTATTGACGAGACATTTTCTGTCATCCTTCCCCGTGTTTCCTCCCCCTTTGATAAGAATTTGCATTGTGGTCAAAGACGTGGTCCCCAGTCTCGGCGCAATCCAACACGTGGACATTGTTCATGACAGATTTCTTTGACATCCACCTCACTGCTTTGAAATACCTCCAAACAGATTCTGTTCCAATCTCAGGAAAGAAAATGTGTCCCCAAATATCTCTCTCGCTCGATTATAACAAAAGGACGTTCTAAATGCTCAAATATTTTGTATTTTGGGACGAGCTGAGCGAGCTATAAAATGGTGCTTGGACGAAACACTTTTAGCTAAATTCACTAAACACGAGCTGATTGGTAGTGTTGCTATGACAGTTCAGCACACTTTAGCTGCACCTCCTTCCGCCTAGCTTGTCTTCTTTTCCAATACAAACTCAGATTCCTTCAGATGCGGCCTGAAGCATGATGCTGAGACAGCTTTAACCGAGTTGGGAGGCAGTACTGGAAATGAGGAATGAAGGTGCTGTAATGCTTAGGAAGGAGAAGAAAATGCGTGCCAGACGAAGTCAGTTGTCATTTTGTTTTGTTCTAGTTGCTGATATAACTTGTTGATACATGGAAACAAAATCCATTTGACATCTGTTGGCACACCCGTATCTTGCTTTCATGCTAGTGCAAATACATTTTTTCTGAAATTCAACAGTGACAGTTTTTTCTGATTGCTTCACAACAGTTGTACCATTTAATACTATTTGTACTATTTTAAGGTCAACAGAAATTACCTCTTTCCCCCAGAACTTTACGTTGAGGCAATCTCACGAGATGTTGCGCCTTCTTGACGCCACAGGAGCACTGCGAGATGTCATTGGGAAAACAGCTTGCATCGGCAGCAAAGCCAGGCGCAGCATATGTCGGACCTAATGAGAGGTTATAGCGCGCAGCGACTGACAACAAAGCTGCAATCGATTCTCGCAAGGGGTAAATATCCAGCCCTTCCGCCCGCACACACCACTCGAGCAAAGAGGGTCTAACAGCCTTGTGCCGACATTAAAACATCATCAGCACAGCGGCATGTGGCTTGAAGTCACTGTCACTACCGACAACCAGCCTGTCCGCGGCTTCTGGGGGGTTTGCTGGGACCCTTTTTGTTTTTGACAGGGAAGCAAACTAGGACAGGAAGGAGGCAAATGAAAGGAAGTGGGATCGGCTGTGCGACGTAAACCTACGGTAGAAACCAGAGGAGGGAGAGATAAAAGGGAGGACATTGTGACGGTGATTCTGCCTTGAATAGCTTCAGATCTTGTCTCATAGTAAACTGGCTTTAACTGCTATGGTAGCAGGTATGTATTATAGTACCAAAACAGACTTAAATGTTTACAAAATCGTCATATGTAATCAATGACTATCAGTGTGTAAATAAAACTTGTTTTTGGAAAATATGAGCCAAAACTCTGTAATGGTTCAGTGGCTTTAGTGGCTGTTGGTGCAAAACAACAATTATGAACCTCTCATAGCGCTATCAGTCTGTAAAAGCAGAGGCTATTTATTCTTATCCCCTCGGGCTGCTCATTCAAATGCCCGACTTGTGGGAAGAGGGAAAGCACTGAAGAGGGAATCACATGGCACTGCACAAGACGAAGCGGCCGCAAATGAGCATTGGCTTTTGCATAGAGGTCCACTGCAACTGGGGTGTAATTGACATGGCACTATTGTTTGACCCCGGAGTCCTCCCAGAAGAAAATCAAGCGGGGCATTTCGATTTAGTCCACATGTTGGGAGAACTAATATAATGTCAGCTACTTGGGACTTTGGTAACAGGCCAGCTCCACGTGTCTGCATGCCTGTACTCACATGTCATGCATGTCATCGGCATTAATGCAAGCAACTGAGTGCACATGTATCCAAGATGAATAAAGGCAGATATTATGCAGCATTGAAACATCTCTCTATACACAGCCTTTAATGCTTTTTATAGTACGTGTACATTTAAAGGTGAGCTCCTACTGTAGTTGATGTGTGCCTTTTGGCCTTCACCCTAGAACTTGTGTTCAAAGCAAAAAAGGCTCAGCTCGTGAAGTCTTATGAAGCTAATCTATGAAGCACATGCACTCAGGAAGATTCTTGGCTGACTTTGAAGCTAGTTTTGGCAGCATGACGTTGCCTGAGGTGAATGGGGGTAGAGAGAGAGGAAGGGGCTGGGAGGGAGGAAGAGTTACAGTATGTCATTTGACAGACACAGAAACCAGCGGGTATCAGGATCACAAATCCTCCCTGTGTGAAATCCTGTGACTGTCACCGGTATAGGGGAGATGAGAGATGGCGGTGCGGATGATAGAGAGGCTGAGGAAATGGCAGGGATGGGGGCTCCAGGCTTCCTTATGACCAATAATGTCAGTGGATTGCAGCTGGAGAAGGTTGGACTGAGTATGCATATGCATGACAGTTGAACCAAATAGATTTTCAGCAAGAGATCCTCACGGGTCGAACCCTGTGGACATGATGTGAAACTTAAAGCTAAGCAAAACTCACAACTGAATAGCTTCCCCTGCCGTTTAGAATTCTAAAAAAAAATGATAAAAAAGAGAACCGAATGGAGGACAATTGGGTGCAAAATGAGAGAAAGCAGAAACATTGGCGATGGCATAATGCGGCACAAAAAAACAGCACACTGTTCCAGCAATCAATGTAACGTAGAATTCCAAAAATGTGTCCCAATTAGTCTAAATATAATTTAGACTCGGCCAATTTCGATCCTCTGAATCACTGCCACCTCGACTACCCTAATTACTTTTTTTTCCAGTTCTGCTGCATCATTATTTTGCAGGTGGGATAAATAATGTAGACCTCATATCTCTGCGGCAGACCCGGTAAACCAAAAGGTAAATGGGACTGAAGTAGATAAACTGGTTGTTGTTAGTTAGAAAAAATGTATTTAACCAGCATGAAAAAGATTTTACACTTTTTGTATGCTCGATAGCAACTGTCATCCTCTTCCTGTCATGGATAGCAACCGGAGGACTCCAGCGCACGACTCTGAAAACGAATGTTTTATTGGTAGACGTAGACGATGCCAGGCAAAGTTCAGTACACAAAACCTCGTGGAAGGCCAAA